AATGAACTAAAGACATTTTTCCCACTGAGATGAATATGAGCCTTTGGGGATCCTGAGGCAGAATTTTATGGCTTAGGTCTAAAATATACCTCCAGAGTGTCATGTTAGGATGTAGGGCCTGATCAGAAGGGGCAGAGAGAATGACTTGGCAGCTTGTTACCATCTCTCATCTCTCATGAGTTGGCAACGTAACTTCTTACCGTTCTCGGGCTCTTCCTTTCTCTTTCTCTGTTTCCTGGCCATCATATAGGGAACTGCTTTCATCCAGCATACCATTCTGCAATATTGTTTCTGCATTGGGGTGAGTTGACCACTGACTGAATCTACTGAAAAAGGGAGTCAAAATAAACTCCTACATTCCAGTTTTTGTGTATTTTGTCTTGGTGACAGGAAGGTGTTCAATAGAGAAGGCTGCCATGTTGCACGCAGCTCTAGATGTTCCTAGTGTGAGGATAGTAAGAGGATAGAGAGAAAAGGACAAAGTTGGAATACTCAGAGCATGCCAGGTGGAGCCCTTTCTTCTGAGAGGAAGGAAGGGATGAGGAGGAGGAGAAAGAAGGAGAGCCCCAAAGGCTGCAGTGGGTTTATTTATACACTTGGGAGGTTGAATGTCATGTGAAACCCCTCCACATAATGGCTTATCAGTGTGGCTCACCTCAGGCACCTGGTGTTCTTGAGTCTAGATCAGCGTATTCCTGTGGCTTGCCTCAGGCTTGCTGTATTCTTGAGGCTGGTCTTGCTCCAGCCCACACGTGATGGATCTCCAGCTTCAGCCACTACCTAAAGAAGGTCGTATACGGCACAATATACAAGCTGGTGCCCAGCCTGAACAATTTAGTGGCTAAGCAGGAGCCTATCTTAAAAAGAACAAAACAAAACAAAAATATGCTTGGCGTTACATCTGAGAGGAAGATGAGAGGGATGGTCTTTGGCCGAAGAGATCTGAGTTTAATTCAAGTTCTACCTTTTATTATTTTGTTTGTGCCAAGCTGCTTCATCCACCATGGCTCAATATTTATAGTATTCATCCATTAAAAAAGTATTTTAAAAACATGACATACAAGGCTTATAAGGAAATTAAGAAATCCAGTTTCTCAATTTAAATAGAACATGTGACAGTACCAAATTGTAAAATCATGGAATGACATTTTTATTGTCAAAATATTTCCCCAAGAAACCTTGTAGGAAATCTCAGGATTTATGCTTGCTATGGACTGAATTGCATCCCCTCTCCCTCAAAATAATTTACCAAAGTAGGTATCTCATATTCTGCATTTTATCTAAGTGGGGGAGCTGGAAGCTTAACTGTCCTTTTTTGGCTTCATTCCAGAATTCTAAACAAACTACAAGACTTCTGAACTGAGTAGACATCAGTATTGGAAGACAGAAATCTGAAGTCTAGGGAGACAAGCAAACAAAGTTGTTAGAATACTTCTTTCTGTTTTGGAGGAGTATGTGTTGTTTTATTTCTTTTTGTTGTTGTTGTTGTTTGTTTGGTGGAGGAGCATGTGGAGGAAGTCAGAAGATCCCCTGGGGTAAAGATCTAGATGTTACTGATCTTCAGAGGTCTGTCAATTCTCATGAGATGGTAACGTAACTTCTTGCTGTTCTCGGGTGGCAGTGCTTTTCCTGGATTGCAAAAGAGCTTAGCAGAAACATTGAGGCCCTTTTGGTCATGTTTCTAGATTAAGCTTTCTCTCCTGAAAAGACTGGATACCGAGAGAGTTTCTTTGGGTAGTAGGCCTCGGAATTATATCTGTGACTCACTCAGCAGGAGATTTCCTTGCCGCCCTCCATTATTAAGATGGTTGCCACGTAGGTGTTTAAACAGCAGGGACGAGCCTCTAGTGAAAGATGGAAGAAATTGACCTCATGGACGCCTAATACCAGAGAGAGAGGAAGAGATCATGCAAATGTATGACCTACACAAAGGTGGTTTCTAACAGAATGGAGCTCAGGGACCCTCCTACCCCATTTTCAGTTACTCCCATAGCACAGTGTTCTTGTAGTGTGAATACCTTAAGGACTCTGGGGTCTGTCAGGTTAGACTCCAAGGTATGATGGAGACCACTAGGACAGCAGGATGGACGCAAACAGTGATGTCTTTATTTCAGGCAAGTGCAGCCTGGTCAAGGGTGAAAAAGCAGTTGACCACAAACAGGAAGAGAATCAGCTCTATAGTGCAACTTTTAGTATGAGAGGGGCATCTCACTGAGGAAAATGGGCAGTTTTAAGTTTCTCGGGGGTCATTGGTAGATCTGTGCCTTTGGTTGGAAGCACCTGGGGGGGGAAGTGCAGGATGGCAGTAGCATTCTTCTGATTTATAAGACAGCATTCTGTAGATTTACAGGGTTTCCCAGAAGCCTGAGAACCAGGCTGGAGCACCATCCTGATAAGCCAAGAGTTATTTTGGTCTCAGGCCAAGTCAGTTGGGGAGCTTCCTGTTCGAAGAGAATGGTAGTCTGTAGGAGTTTTTCTCTTCAGGTTGAAAGAGGTCTGATTGTGAGGAACAAACAGAAACAAGTGCTGGACAAACCTAAAGATAGCTCAGTTTTCACAAAACTGTCTAAAATTCAGTTAATCATTATCTTTCAGATTGAGATAAGAATAACAATTTTAATAAAGTGATCATGTCAATAGAACTTGAGATTTTTAATCAACTCAATCAAGTGCCATATTATTATTTGATATTTTAAATTTTGAGGATCGAGCAGATAAGGTGTAAACAATGTTATTTAATATTGAAGGAGTGAAGTTAGAATATGAGTAAATTAACACTCCTTCCAAGAACAAAACCATAAAAGTTGTCACTCATTCCAATGACAAAAATATAAAGTTATCAAGGAGATTTAAACCTTATGCAGGCACATATGTATTCACATATTAAATTTTGTTGGATCTACAAAAATTGACCATGGCTTGCAAATGAACAAACAAAAATTAATTGGAAGAGTGAATGAATGAACCAATGAAATGAAGATGGGGAGGATGTTTGTTGAGTTTTCATGTGAATGACAAGACTGGTAGAAGAAAAAGGAATAGATAAAACCGATGAAATTTTACTGAATACTAAAAGGGAATTTATCTTAGCAGATGATTCAAATCTTCAATTAAAATGACTCACTATATTCTGGGTAAGATAGATACAAGGTTAATATATAATATGAAGTAAAAAATGCTAGATGAGAATTTTTTTAACTATTACTATTTATGAAAATTACGTTGCTTAAAGGCAAGTTAAGCGTGTTCACAAGCCAGGGACTGATAGATGTCCTAACGCAGTTCCTGAACTAATCAAAATGATAAGCTTACTTTATACCAGACTCGTCTAGATTTGCTTTAAGATTAGCAAGTGGTGTGGGCTTATTAGACAAGCTTATAATGAAGGGTGTGATGACCAGCAAGCAAGGACCTAGTGGCCTTAGTTTATAGATGAGCATTCTGAAAAGCCTGAACATTTAAAAGAGGTCCTGGTGCGAGAAGCCACCTATATGGGTGGCGAAATATTTAGGGTACCAATAAATTAAGATATTTAACTGGAATAAAATAATGTGCTAGTTGTAATTTTTAAGTTTGAACACAAACTGCTGTGAATAATATGATTAATATAATGGGGTTTATTTTCTTAGATACCTACAAACATTCTGGCATCAAGGATAGCAGAAAAATCTGAAAAACTTCCACACAGAAAAATATAAAAAGTTATTTGATACTCCAAAAATTATTTTCCATGACTGGATTAGTTACCTTTTCTAAAACTCAGTTCTTTAAAAATTATCCTACAGCATTAGACAATTCACTTGCTCTTTTATAACAAATATATAAGTTTATAATTTGTAGTATGAGTTAAATATGACAAAGGTGTACTTATGCATGCTACTTATGAATTACAACTACCAAAAAAAAAAAAAAACCAAAGACTAATGCTTTATTATTCTTTAAAATTTTATATAAAATAAAATTTGGTCAGATAGGATTTTGAGCTCTAT